GGGGAGAGAGAGAGGTCAGCTGTTCCTATTGTGTGGCATCCTTCCCCCACATTGGTCTCCATGGCATATATGTCATGCTGGTCTCACCCCTTGTCCCAACAGGGTCTATGAGCTATACGGCAGAAAGTCTTGAGATCAAAGTCAGAAGAACGTAAACTCAGTGTTAGGCAAATCCATAGAGATGACTAGCTGGGCAAGTCACTCGATATTTCTGAACCCTGGCTCCCTTACTTCTAAAACTAGCCAAGCAGTCCCTACCCTGCGTATCTCATGGCATTGTCAGGAAGCTGGCAGGCCATGCTGGACAGGAGAGTTATGGGCTCTGGAGTCAGGCTGGCTTGTGTTTAAATCCCAGTTAGCAAGCTACTTCTCTAAACCACTGGTTTCTCATCTGTAATATAGGATTAGAAACAAAACCTACTTTACAGGGATTTTTTTATGTGTATGTGTATGTACGTGTGAGAAACACAATAGTGAATATAAAGTACTTAGCAAAGTGCCCGCCACCTAGTGGGGGCTCCATACAGAGTAGCTATTATAATATGCATTATGTAGATATGCACTATTCATATACCTCAACTCTGCTCCTGATACAATTCACCTCTCTAGGAAGTTTCCCATTTTGATGGGGAGTTGAGCTGATCACCTGCAGGCTCTGGGACGCATGGACTGAGAATTACTTATCTAATTCTGGCTTCTTCCTGAACAATTCTCCTCTCCCCAGATGCAGATGTATTTAAGGCTCAAGAACAACAAATGCACTTGCCCTCAACCCTATGATTTATATAAACACTTAACTCTCTAGAGAAGTACTTTTTGAATCAGAATCCTGCAACTTTCTCCTTTCATTCATGCGTTTGTTAATTCATGCAATGTACTACGTACTTTGCCAGGTACAGCGGTCAACGAGATGTCCCTAAAGGTGCTGATATGGATAGAGATGGACAATAAAAGCACAGATAACAGATAAAGGAGAGCGTTTTGGTGTAATAAAGAAACCGGGTGACGTGATTAAGAATAATTTAGAAAGAAAGTTTACGTCAAAAGGTCAGGCAAGGACCCTCTGAAGAGCTGATATTTGATCTGAGTTCTAAAGAATGAGAAATAACTAGGTGAGACGTTGCAACGAGGTGGGAAAGGGAGTTTCAAGCGGAGGGAGCAGCGAATGCAAAAGCCCTGAGCTAGGAATGACGTTGTGTATGTAAGGAACAGAAGGAAGGCCGGAGCAGTGAATGAGAAGCAGCAGGGCACGCAATGACGTCAAAGAGAGAGGTGGACTGTCAGCCGGCGTAAGAAATGTGAGTTTTATTTTCATCTTTATGATGGATTAATTGTGGGGAATGAAAGAAAGGGAGGAATCCAGGATGGCTCCTAAATTTTTGCCTTGGAAGGTAATGCCATTTACTGTACGAGGACGTCTGAGGGAGAAACAGCTGGGGTTGCGGGGGTGGAGAAGAGGGGATTTACTCGATGATGCCAAGTGACACTAGCTGTATGATCTTGGAGCTCAGGGGAGAAGCTGGACTCTCTTAGCATTGTAGATAGATGATGTGAAGCTGTGGACCTGGATGAGATCTCCTAGGAAAATCAATATAAGGAGAAGGTCCCACCATCCAAGTGCCTTTTACTCACTGCCTGCCCTCATATATCTGGAAGCTGCTTTCTCAAGAACTGAGTTCTTGAAAGACAGTGGAGAGAAGTGTGGGACTCATTGTCCTTACCTGTCACCAGTCCTACCCTGAGGGGGAAACAATGTACTTGTAGGCTAGCTGTTTGCCCTTCTCACTGATTAAGCCCCATGAATCGCTTCTTTAAAATGTCACCTCAGCTGCTTATTCTCATACAGACACACATCATCTCTTAATTTTTACCACTCCTTGCTGTGTTGCCTAAACATAAATAATTTTCTGTCTTACTTCTTCTCTTAGTCACTTTTCTGTATTTCTTAACTCCAATCAACTCCAATCATAGCTGCTGCCTCAAGGAAAAGGCACAAAATGGGACTGAAACTAGACACTGAGCCAGGATCTGCAAGCCCCTGAGCCTTTGCAAGTATCTAGCTTCCTCTTGGTGGATTTCACTGCATCCATCTTTAATGACCTCCATGTCTTCTTCTCAATAAAGCCACTTACCATAAGGAACCATTATGCTAGGACAAAAGAACTTTCCAAGTTCGTTTTATTGTTTTTCTGCAATAATTTATTAGAATTTCAGCACTATTGTTTTCTTTTTTCCCTTTTCTCGTGTACACTATTTTGGGATGCATAATGGATTAAAGGAGTTCTAGTGGCTTTATCTGAAAGATTATTTGCTGCTCAGCATAGTGTGGCATCATGGAATAGCCACTGGGCTTGGAATTCAGAATCTGTTCCCAACCCTGACTCTGCTGGGTGGCCGGGGACAAATTACTTAACCTCTCTGAGCCTCCATTTTCTCATCCATAATGTGAGAACAAGAGTAATTCCACAGAATTCTCAGAAGGATTAAATAAAGCAATGCACATCTGGCATAGTGCCTGGCATATAGTAAATGCTCAATAAACAGTTGATCTAGTTGATTAATCTTAGAGGGAAAATTAACAACAGACTTTTGGAACGCAACCCATCTGTAAGACGGGAACTGCTTTGAACAGGCAGTTACACTTCTGTTCTCAGTTCAGGTGCTCTCTTCCAGAATTGCCTCACCCCAGCCAGGTGCCTGGCTCTCTGCCTAGCCTCCTCCCTTTCCCCTGGTGAGGATGGAGAGAGTGGCTTTTTAAGGGCAGTCAGGGAATTAATGTCTCCTTAGAAGTAGTTTTGCTGAGTAAGTGATTTGGGGTCACAGGCCAACAGGCTGGCACTCCCTGTGCTTCTCCCCACAAACCCACCCAGACCTTATCAGGTTGTTGGCTCCAGTTCTGGAATGATGAAGCCTTGGACAGAGGGGGAAGAGGGAGGGGAAATTGACTAGCGGCGTCTCCTGTTTCCTGGCTGGGCCTGTGCCTGGTGCTTTGGAAGACAAGGTAGTTGTGCAGGGTAGGATGAGGGTGGAGATCTTTTTTAGGGTTCCATCAGAGGAGAAGTCTTGAGCCTTTCTCCTGACTTGTCTCTAGGACCTTGTCGGTTGCAAGGCATAGCTGGATTCCCAGGAGGCAGTGAGCACACATCCAGGACACCAGCCAAGAGACACCAAAAGAATGAGAAAAATAAATGTTAAGAATCTGACATTGTATATTTCCATAAAAGCACTGAAGTGTTATCATGGGGCTTATAAGGACTTAAGAACTCCCCTATACTTATTTTATGTTTAATATATCTATATTAAATTTTTTTTTTTTTTAATACAAAGTAAGTTCCCCTTGATATCATCAGTGTTGAGTGCTCCAAAGTTCTGTTGAGTGGGCAGACCCATGTGCCTGGTGAGGAGGAGGCAGGCTTGGGACACCCTCTGCTCCTGGAGCTCTCCCTAACCTTCTTCTGTGAGTCCACTTGCTGTGCCTCAGTTTTCCCCTGCAAAAGTGAGAGAAAAACCCTGTCTATATCAGAGCTGGGGTGTGGGGTAAGGGGCAGTGTGGCAAAGGGATCCCAGGAAAAGACATAGGACTGGGAGGTGGAGCTCCCATTCTCATCCCAGCTTGTCCCTAACTGCAGTTTTCCTGGGGGCCTGTGTTCTCTCAGGGACTCTCTGAGCTCTACTGCTGGTCACCTGTTCCTCCTTCGTGGAGGTAGTACACAGGCTCCTCCCCTCTGCTTTGCAATTCAAATACCAGGTTTCTGTTCCCTGTTCTCCACCCATTTTCTCTCCTGGGGAGCTCAGGGCTTGAGCTGAGTGGAGAGGAAGCGGGAGGGCTGTGCCCCTTCGGTGATTCACCATGCCTGGGCCTAAAAGCTGATGCCAACCTGCCTCACCCACTTGGTCAGGGCTGGGGCCATTTTCCTGGGGAGTCGCCTCTGAAAAGCCCTAGGAATGGCTGTGGTGCCTGGGTAAAATGAAAACAGTTCTTCCCAGGACCCAGAAAGCTGAATGGAATCGGAACTCTGGGGGTTCTATTCTTGAATCTGTCCCGACTTGTCATGGGAGGGTGTGTAGAGCCCAGCCCATTTAATGCCTGAGGGAAGGGGAAATTCTGGCCATTTCTGAGCAGGGCAAGACTAGCAATAAGGTGTAGCAAAATGAATCCAGGCCTGAGTCAGGAACTCTGAGTCACTGGTCTGGCAGGGCAAGAGCACTGGACGGAGTATCTTGAGTTTTATTCCTGGTGCTGCTGCTAGTTATGTTTCCTTAAGCAAGTCCTGTGCCTCTCTGGGCCTCTTCCATAAAACGAGGAGGTTGGATTAGAGCTAAGTTATATTCCAGGTCTGTCTATTATTACAGCCTTGCGTCTACTACTGATTATCTGTGTGAACTATGACAAAGTTATTTCACCTCTCTGTGCCCTAAAGTATAAAATGGGGGTAAGAATACTGCTTATGTTTCTTATTGGAGAATTGTGAAAATCCAGTACGAAGATGATTTGGGAACACTTTATGATAATTGTCCCATTAAAAACATTATTTTCCCCTCTGTAGTCACAAAGCTTTCTTGCTGGAAGTCTAGGAGGGACAGCTCCCAGTCTCATGTCCACAGAGTGGCTGTGACAGACATACTCTATATCAAAGAATTGCAGCAGCAAAAATGAAACCAGGAATTTAAAAATTGCAAAATGGCAAGCTTACACAGAAACCATGTTGCTTTACCTATGATTTATTCCATGTCATATTTTTTCCTTATGATTTTAGTCTTCCGTCGTGACTCTATGTGACTGTTTATCACCCAATACATCTTTTACATTATAAGCCAAGTCAAGATGCAAGGGATGATAGTTGGCGTTCTTCCTTGCGTGTCCTATAAATAAAAATGTTTTCTGGTAGTCAGGAGCACAGTGAGCCTTTGACTATTGTAGAGCGTTTAAGGGGATTAAGCCTTCTTTGAGTTTCACAATTATCTTGCAAGAACATAGGCATTTTCAAGATGAAGAAAGTAAGTCTCAGGGGAGTGTAGTACCTTGGTAAGGAGTCTCAGTGAGTGACAGAACCATACTTGAGTCTGAATACTCTGACACCTATGCTGACACCTATCCAGGATGTTTTGTTTCACATTTAAATGAGTGACTCAGAGGCTTTACGACTGAGATAGCAGGGGGCCGAGCTGCTCTCTCCAGTGGGAGATGGCCCTCACATAAGAAAAAGGCAAAACTGGGGGTCTTTCTAACTGGATTCCTTCTGTCTCCTTTATAAGCAGGTCTAGGGGCAGAGCAGAGGGAAGAAGCTGTTCAGGTGGCAGATTCAGCTTTCAATAGAGGTCGGGCTCAGACCTCTCATCACACCTCAAACCAGATTTCTGACAAGCCACAGGTATTCAACAAGACTGAAGCATGTTCCTTCACAAAGACAAACATCTGCTTTCAGGATGCTTTGGTTTTGCTCTCAGACCCTTGAGGTCTACTGAAGGCCTCAGGGCAGTGGGACCAGCTCAGCCTCTTTCCATTATTTTGGGTATAGGTTTGACCTTCTCTCTGTCTGACTCCTTTTCTCTACTCCTCCTTTCCCTTGTCCCTAGTCTCATATTCACAAAGTTCTGTCTGGGTGTAACCTAAATACCTCTTACTGTAATCCCTGCTCCCTCCTTCATTTTCCATTTTTAAAAAAGTTGGAAAATGTTAGCTGGCCAGCCTCCATCCAGACCCCATCTTGTGCTTTTTCTACTATCCAATAACCATGCTGTCAGGATCCATCGTGTTCACGTGGCTTGTGAGGCTAAGTTTAAGGTGCAAAATAATGCCCTAACCAAGGCTGGGTTTAGGGAGAATTAACTACCTGTCTCTTTTTTATTTCTGCTTTTACCACCTAGATTCACTAGATTTCTTGATTTTCAAGCTGGCTTGCCAACTACTTTTCCACCAACTTACGGTCCTTTGGGACCCTTCAGAGCCTCTTCTGCACTTCTATTCATCTTGTACTCATGAGTCACTAAGCTGAGCTCTTGGGAACGGTTTCCACACCCGGGCTTTTGAGTTTCTGACTCACAAAAAGTCAAATGAATGGCTCTGGGGTATGAGAAACAGACACAGCATTGGGGGTGGATGTTTTACAGAAGCTCCAGTGTCTCCCTGGAGAAACGAACTCCCCGGCTCCTTGTTGTACAGCGCATCAGGATAGCTGAGCAGGAGAGCAGTGGAAGGGAGGTCCTAGACATACTGCCTGGTTGTTCTAAAGAAGGTCTGAGCAAAGCATCACAGATGGATCCCTTGGGATAGTCTGTGTCGCCCAAGAACAGGGTAGGGCCTGGCTGTGAATAGGAGAGGGGCCAGGGTGATTATGTCATTCATTAACTCTCAATATTGCAACTCATCAGTAGAGGCCCTTCCTACTCACCAGAGTTGTGAGCAGCCCTAGTTTTCCTAAGTGGGCAACAATGAACTTGTTCATAATGCAGCTTTGTAAGCAGTCTCCTCCCAGGCAAAGCCCACTCTGGAAAGCCCTCAACTTTATTACTTTGTGTTCACACAGGGGACACATGCACACAGGGTACAGGGATACACACAGAGACATGGGAACACAGACACATCCAGCCAGACAGACATAGACACGCAAGCAGACACACAAAGGCATAGGCATACAAACACACCAAAGCCCAAGAATATTAGCGCTAGAGAGAATATTAAAAATCATTTAAGAAATTTAACTTATTTTACAGAGGAAACTGCAGCCTGGAGAAGTGAAGGGACTAGCTGAAGGTCACACATCTTGTTTTTATTATTTCTTTTCTTCTATGTCCTGAACTCTGACCTTTGCCCGTGAGCTCAGCAGGACTGCTGTGCTTTGCTGGGGTCTAGCTCCCTGCACTGCAATCAGGGAATTACACCCAAGCAAAAAGCTGGAGTGATCTTGGGGCTCACTTTGTGCGGTTCTCTTATGTGGATGGCTGTGGTTCCCTAAATGACCACACAGTAGCTCCTATTCCCATATTTTTCTTACAATATTCCCTCCCTGTGATCTGGGGCGTGCAACTGTTTCAGCCAACAGAATACAGCAGAGGTGATGCTATGCAACTTCCTAGTCTAGGTAATAAAGAGGACACAACTTCTCTCTCTCTTTCTCTCTCTCTCTCTCCCACATTCCACTCCACTCATCCTTGAGACCCAGCCACCATGTTTTGAGGCAGCCTAAACTGGCCCACATGGAGAGAAGAGACCATGTGGCTAGACCCACGTGGAGAACTGAGGCCCCCAGCTGACAGCCAACATCAACTACCAGATAGGTGAGTAAACGGCCTTCAGATGATTCCATCCCCAGACATTGTAGAGCAGACACAAGCTGCCCTGATGTGCTCCACAATATCTATGAATGTAATAGATGGTTGTTTTACTTCACCAAGTTTCAGGGCAATTTGTAATGTAGCCAAAGTAACTGCAACACCATCTCAGGAATTATAGCCCTGTGCTGCCTGTTGTCCAATGCTGAAAATAGTTGCCTTACATATTTTGCTCTGTGTTATTGTTTTAGGAGAGCTAGTCACCAAGCCAGGACTTTAATCTGCAGCTCTGTTCTCTAAAATAATGATAAAGATACTAACAATGATATTGAGAGCAACTTTCTTTTATAGACTTCTTTCTTTTTACTTAGTACTGTGCTGATCTTAATGAGACCACACAATGATCTTGTGAAATAGTCATTATTAACCCCTTTTATACACTGAAACCCACGCAGTTGACCATATACAGAAATACATATAGATATACTGACACACAAATTTGCGTATAAATGCATACCTATGTACATGTATAGACATATAGGGACACATACACACCTATAACACATTTCCAGAGTTTTTATGCTTTTAGAATGTTTCTCGTTCTCAGAGTTAAAAATCCTCCTCCCCCATTCATGTTAAATACACTGAAAGAGACTTAATCTGCTAAATATTACATTTCTCAAGTACACCCCAAGATGAAATTCTCTTCATCTTGGGCCACCGCAGGCAGGGGTGGCAGAGATATTGTCTCTGTTTTCTGGCCAAGGGTTGCCTGGGACCTGTACTTGCAGGGAGGTGGAGTGGGACTTTTTAACAAGACTTGGCTTGGCAGACTGAAGCTTTTTCCTGGGCCCACAAGGACTCTGCACTTGATGTTGTAAGATTCTAAGTTCAGAGAAACAAAGTGATTCTTGAAATTGCAAAAGTAAAGAGCGCAGAGCAAAAGACCAGTGCTTGGAAGGGGAGGTGGTGAGGGAGTTTGAGAGAGGACCTCCTTGTTGAAGCAGGGCCATTCTCAGATATTCCAGAGCGGTAGTAGGAACTGGCTGATTGATGGAAGGAAGGGAGATTCAGAGGGCCCTCTTCATGCTGCAGGCTTCTCAAAGTCAGCTTGCCTCTTCCAAAGAAGGCAAGTGGGAGGATACTGAGAAGCTCTCAACTGGCAGTTTTAGAGCAGAAATGATGCTCTTAAGGGGCAGGGGGAAGAGTCTTAGGGCAGAGTGCCAGGCTCAGTAATTTAGAATTTATTCACATCTCTTTTCCTTAAAATAGTGGAGACCCCAGTCCTACTCCTAAGAAGAGCTAAGAATACAGAGATCCGTCTTTGGGGAAGAAAGAAATGATACTGGTATATTATTACGATCACCTTAATCCAGAAAATAGATGCCCAAGTCCACCCCTACTACCTCGCAAAAAGCTGCAACCTATAGCAAGCAGTTGACTCCAAAGGAGGAAAATGAAATGGGAAATCTTTAAGGTTCACTTCCACCTCCCCACCCCCTATTCTCAAGTTCAGTCCAGAAGCACTGTTTAAAGCGCCTTAGAAGAAACTCTTGAGAGTAGTATACTGTTCTCACCCATTTTACAGTTGAGGTAACTTGTTCTGAGCTTGGGCACTGACTTGCCCAAGTTGGTCAGCCCCAGAGGCAGCACCCACCCAGGAAGCCAGTTCTGTTACTGGTATTCCAGCCCCGTCAACAGAACCCTCTCCACCGCACCAGTCTGGGGGCCTCTACAGTGTCTGACACTCGGGGAGGGCTCCGGGCATCTGATGAATGAACTGCCAAGTCTCCCCAGCCTAAGAGGTGAGGAACAGTGGCTCCGTGCCAAACTGGGATGCAAGGACTCCCTATCTCTCTCAACTTTTGCCTGTCTGTCCCATCTTGTCTCTCCCTCTTGCCCTTGTCCCGGAAAATCGATGCAAATCAATGTGCCTGTGTGGTCCCAGACCTGCCAAGTGGGGAGAATGCTGCCCCAGGCCCTTTGTGTGCAAGTGTGAAGGTTGCAGAGGACAGGGGGAGGGTAAGGCAGATTGTCAGCTCAGATGAGAACGGCTGGGTAGCCTGAAGGCAAAGTTCTGGCAGGTCTCGAGCACGCGGACCCTCTCCGCCCCGCACACACCCCTTACCTCCGCCTCCCTGCGTAGCTCCTGGCTTACGCGCTCCGCGAACTGGGCGTCCAGGACGCCCCAAAGCAGCAGTGGCAGGGCGCGCAGCAGGAGGCCAACACGCGCGGCCATCTCGCCGCAGCCCCTGCGGCGGAGCGCGGGGAGGTGGGGAGCTGAGGTGCGCGGGGAAAACTGCCCCGCGGTCCGCAGTGCCCCGGGCTCCGCGGATGCTCCAGCTCGGCGCGAGGTGGGTAGGTTCCAGGAGTTTGCCAGTGCCGGGGCTTCGCGCTCTGGGAGGTTTCTCTGCCGCGCTTCGCCGGGAGCTGGTCCGAGGTCGTGCAGCTCCGGCTGTGCCTGCTCAGTGGATTGCCGGCCTGGAAACCTAGTAGGCAAGGGAGGAAGGGAGGGAGGAGGGGGCGGGAGCCGGGCACTGCGGCCCCACCCACCCCACTCTGGAACGCGCAGAGGTCCTGGAGCCTCTTCCGCAAGCGGCACCGCCTCTCCGCGTGCCTGAGGACCCGTTCTCTCGCCTGCCACCTCCAATTGAGTCGGATCTGTCGGGGTGGCGGGGGAGGGCAGCGGGCAGGGGGTAGAAGAAGGGTCTTCTCCTGACGGTTATGGCTACCTAAGACTTCTATAAGAGGGGTCTTGGCCTGAGGGTCATTGATCGTTCAAGCAGGCAAGTAGGGAGAGAGACTCTGGGTGTGAGAGAATGAGTCTCAGGCTAGGGTCAGAAGAATTGAGTTTAAGTTTCAGATCTGCTTGTGAATCCTGCCTCAACTACCTGCTGGCTGTGTGGTCTTGGAGAAGTCACTCACCCTCTCTGAACCGATTTTTCTCATCAGTAACTGGGGATAATAAGAATACCAACATCAAGTCATTGTAAGGAGCATTTAATGAGAGAATAATGCCTGTAAGAGACTCAGCACCGTGCTTGGCATTATGAAGTACACATTTAATTAGTAATAATCATGCCTCGGATAAACCTCATTGGCTATGATATTGCCACTGCACAAAGCTATGAAGTACGCATTTAATAAATGGAAGCCTGCAAGCTTTGTGACCTTTGGCAAAGGATTTAACTACTTTGAGCGTCAGTTTCCTCATCAATAAAATGAGAGCAAATGATATTTAGTTCCTAGTGTTGCTCGTAGATTAAAAGAGAAAACGAGTGTAAAGTGCCTGGCTTTATGTATCCCACGCAGTCGTAGTAAAGGTGTGGAGGAAGGATTTACGTGAAAGCCTTAGCTAAACTCGCACTGAGCAAAAGTAAACTGTTTTCATTATCTGCCTTAGTAACTGCCAGCAGGTTGTTGTCTCTCTATTAGTCTCAATTTGCTAATCTGTAAAATAAAAATGGCACAGTGATATCCTCCTCTGGGGGTTGTGTGGATTAGAAGAGTTGATGTACTGTAAAAGTAATTTCGAATCTATAAAGTGCTAAGCAGATGTAATGTGGTGTTTTTATCCTAAGGCTTAGGGCCTCAGAAGGTTTAGTAGCACACAATGCTTTTGTGTTGTTTAGAAAAAGGGGCCGTTCTGGTGGAGGAATTTTAAAAGACCCTTTGATTAGCCAGCCTTCTTGGAAAGAGGTGTTCCTTGTGGGTGAAGTAATTGCAGTAGGCCCCACCCACCTCCCAACCAACCAATGGAAAGGGGTCATTCATCCTGAGCGAACCAATTAGAAACAGACGCTCCTCTGGCAGCTAAAAAGAAAAAGGTGTCTTTCAATGGCACATCCCTCCTTGTCCAGAACGAAGCCCCAGAGATTGTGGACAAGGCCTGCGCCTTACCCTTTGAGAGCTTTCAGACTATTTGGACATTCTGGAAAGAAGGTTCTCAGCAAAGGACAGAACAGACTGTGACACAGCTAAAGGTTCAAGCAAAGTCTTGTGGAGAGCCTGGAAGAGGGAGATGCTGAAGGGGAGTGGGTAGTGTTGCTCGATTTAGCAAATAAAAATACAAGTTGTCAAAAAAAAAAAAAAAGGGATGTCTAGTTAAATTTGAGTATCAGATTAACAATGAGTAATTTTTTAGAATAAGTATGTGCCAGTGCAATACTTGGGACATGTCTATACTAAAAAATTATTCATCATTAATCTGAAATTCAAGTTTAACTTGGTATCCTCTACTTAATCAGGCAACCGTGTGTGTGTGTGTGTGTGTGTGTGTGTGTGTGTGTGTGTTTGGGAGGATGTCAGAAGGTTGCAAGTATGACATGGTATACAGTGCCTTTGACTAAAAGTTGGATTTTGATAGGCCAAATATAACTGCTTTGGGGCAGAGAATTCTGAGTACCAGTTGGTAGGGACACTGTGGACCAAGCTGGAGTCAAACTCAGAGTTGTCAATTTTTACCTCAGGAAGAGTTTCTCCATTCCTTCCTCCAGCACACCCCTAGGATTCTCCATTTCAGCTACATTGGGAGGAGAGGGGAAGGCAGGAAGCAGTAATTCTCTGGAGGGCTGAGTGACAGGCTCAACCACCCAGAGAGCTGACCCTGCCTTTCTCTGCATCCCAGGCGAGCCCTGGTGCCTGGACCTCAAAAACTAGTACCATTGCTGTTTGAAAGTTGATTTCCTTTGCTCTTCTTTTGAGTCCTTAAATTATTTCATCTCATCCTTACCTCTCCCCACTCCACCTCTGCTTATGGTCACTTGGAGATGCCATCCAGACTTGGAAGTGCCTGCAAGAATTTGTGCAGAACAGAGCTTCCTTCACCTACACACTCACCATTGAACTTCAACTATGCTTTGCATAGGATGTCTTTGTTTCTCAGGAAGACAGCATGTTTCCATGATTAGAACCTGGGTAACAGAAGCTTCAGTTCCTTTCTTCTTCTGAAGCTTAGTCATAAATCTCAGAGCACCAAATTCTGTGATCTTCTCAGGAACACAGGTGCCTATACAGCTCCACAACTGGCTTGCTGCTTGTTTCTATTTTCCAGGATACATCCTGAGCCAAATAGCTTTCAATGGGGTGAAGAAGGAAGGCAGCTTGCTATGTGAGAGAGGGATCAAGGAGGAAAGGAAGATGAGAAAGGCTGGGTAGTTTATTGGAAGAAGCTCAGTCCACAGCCAGGCTATCAGAAGAGTGATGGGAGGAGAATGACTTTGGAGAAGGGATTCTCAAAGCTCAGTCCAAAGATCATCCACATCTAAAACAATACTGTGTTGACAAATTACTATATTAATCCAATACTATTATTCCTTCCTCTGGTAGGGATGAGAATAAGATGTCAGAACAGTAATAATGGTAAATACTTGTTGAGAAATTAACATGTGCCATATATGTGTTATACATAAATTATGTCATTGAATCTTTACAGCTTCCTTATGAGAAAGCTACTATTATAAGTATTCTTATTGCATCATAAAGACGAGGAAACTGAGGCACAGAAAGATATTACTTGTCCAAAGTCACAAATCTAGTAATGGAGCCAGGGTTCAAACCTGGAGTGTAAGTCCAGATCTTAGGCCCTTAAACACTATACTTTCTCACCTCAAGTCAAATTTAATGTGGAGGTACATATTAAAATTCAGATTCCAGAGCCCTACTCCAGATCCACTTAATCACTAAATACTAGATACCAATGTTCAAGAGGAAGAAAGCACTAGGTTTTCCAAGGGTCTGGCTTTCTCCTTCCCTCTCTATCTTGACTGGGCAGGTTCCTGACGCAGCTGGGCTGGCAGTCCTCTCCACACCTCCTCTTCAAAGAGAGCTGCTTCTTTTCCCTCCTGCATTAGACTTGGTTCAGATCGACATTGCATCCCAGCCATTCAAGAGTGGACAGGACTTCTGTGGAACTCATGCCAGGGCTTGGGCATGTTGCCTGCCCTAGCTGGCAGCTGCCTGGGTCATTCCTTCTTCTCTGACAGAAGGCAACAGCTGGCCAGAACCCCTTGAATCAGGCAGGATGTGTCCACCTGGACAAGGCCCCTCTGGGCCTCAGTTTCTCTTTTCATAATATGAGGAACAATCAGCTTTGTCTCTGCCCTTTCCTCCTTCCCAGGAAGTGTGCATAACACAAAGCAGATTTTATCAGAAGGAATTCTGGGGTCTGGAGAAAGGCACTAATAGAATGATCAACCTCCAAAAACCACAATAATAGGAATGAGAAGAGGAATAAAGAGGATATGAGATTAGCTTGGAAGAGCTGAAAGGAGGCTTTCCACAAAGTTGTGAGAACTTTAGGTATGATCATTTGTATTCATTATTCACCATAACCTCTGTGCATTTTTAGCTGTGATTCAATCCAGAAGCCCTGACTTTCTAACAATTGCTTCTGCCTCTAGAAGAGAAATTTCCTCTCTCTAGCACATACGGATGCGGGCTCATCAGTCTGGGTCACATTCACAAGTGTATCTCCCTATCTACCCCCTTGTACATATGCATATATGCATAGGCTCATATGGAAGTAGAAAAAGCAAAAAAACATTGCAGCAAGACAGACCTGGGTTTGAATCTTGATTTTTTTTTCCCGCATTCTCTTAAAAGTTGCAAGTCAACTAACCACTGAGTTTCTGCCATTTTAAAATGGGACTACAGTAACTCCTGCCTTTTTTAGTGCTCCAATTTGCTGTGGGGAGCAAGCTTGACAATTATTAAGTGTTAAATTTTATCAAGCGCTAGATAGTGGGTGCACAGACACAAGCATACACACATGTATTCTTTACACAGGTTCACATTTGAGTGTGCTCACATCCAGACAACATACACAAGCCCGCCCTAGGACAATTACATGAGCACCTCCTTGCCAGGCAGTGCTCTTTGGCTCCCCTAACCCTCATCAAGATTTGCTGGGCGTCAGCCTCTTCTGGTTTGTTTTTTACTCACACCAGGACCCAGGGGACTTGCAAGGAGCACAATAAAAGCCTGGTCAGTTTGGCGCTGTGCCCCACTTCCTTTCCACATAAAGGCTATCTAACTGCCAGGCATCTGACCTGAAAGGCTGGGCCAGGACCTAATCGGCATCTGCTGCTGTGCTCAAAAGACCTGCTAACAGGAAATTGTCTGGTTCCTTTCCACCCCAAACAGGAAGTGCCTGCCACTGTCCAGAGGACAGGGTAGACTGGTCACCTACAAGGAGCCTTCCTCTGCCAAAGTGGAACCTCAGGGTAATCTTCGCAGAAGCCTTGCTCTCTAGGAAGGCTGGAGGAGCAGGGCTCCAGGGACGCCTCTGAGGCGGGTGGGGGTGGGAGGGTGATGATGATGGCTACTACTGCCTGTAGCACCTGGCACAGAGCAGGCTGTCATTCGTTCAACAAACACTCAATGAACACTTGGGAGACATAAGAAAGGCCTAGATAAGGTTTTTGAGCCTCAGGAGTTTACAGACAAGTGAGAGAGACAAGTTGTGCCATTTAAAAAATTTATTCATTCATTAAAAACAAGGTCCCCCTCTTCTTTTAGCGCCCATTATTTCAGGTACTATTTGAGGCACTGAGGGGTTCAGAGATGGACAATGCAACGCAACTAGAGAATAAATTGGCCTCTGATTAGGGAGGTAAGCGTTGAAATTTGTGGTATAACTGTGAGTTCCACAGAATTTCAAAAGAGGCAAAAGATCATTATCTGATTTTTACTCTGATGGGAGCAATGACCTTTTTCCCTCCTTCCTCTTTTGCCCTCTACAGTCTATTCTCAAGATAGCAGCCAGAGTAATCCTGGTAAAAACCAGGCCAGTTCCTGCAGGACTTCTAAGTGGCTCCCTCTAATGGCTTTCCTTCTCACTTTAAGTTTACTCACAGTCCTTAAAGGGTCCTACGAGGCCCTACCCTGGCGGTGGAAGGGTTGGGAAGTCAAACGGAACGGAGGCAACTCAGAAATTATCAATAGAATTAAAGAATAAAATTTAATTGAGTTAATTTTGAAGATCTAATTGGTTTTATTAAGCAATTCATGAATCACCAGGAGAGCACTCCGATGAATTGTACAAACCTTTTTATAGGAAGAAAGAGGGTGGACCTAAATTAAGAGTGGATTATTTCAGGCATAGACATCTTCCCTTAGGGAAAGGCAGGGGGCCTTATCAGGCAGATTACTTCACTAGCATGGATCAGGAAATTTCAAATGTATTGGTTTAAAATTCCACTCCTGGGAGAGGCTGAAACTGCAATTAGGTTAGTTATTAAGTTTGGTTTGGTGACATGGCTTAGCAGAAGTGACTGTTTGGGCCTGTTATTCCTTCCTTCCTCTCTCCCTCCCTCCCTTCCTTCCTTTCTTTCTTTCCTTTTTTAAACAATAGCTAGAAGACTCTACTAGCCATAGGCTGGAGAAATAAACGGAGGAGTGGGGTTTCTGGAGCCCAGGAGCCAGGGTAAGTCATGGAAACTGGAGCTCTGGAGGAAACGGCAGCTGTCTGAGACATCCCCCTCTACCACCACCACGGAAGAGAGGGATAGGAAGAAATACCCCTTGCTCCTCTCTTTTTCTATCATCTAATGTCTCACCAGGACACCCATTGGCTGATTTCAGTTGGAAGCTACTGCCTGAAGGAATCTCTGAAACTGAAATGCAATCTGCAGGGATCAGCTCCCCATGTGAGGACTTGACGAATGATAGATCAGGGGCAAACAGACCCAGTACCAAGATCTTTGCAGGTACATTTTGCTAAAGCTGATATGTAAAATGTACCTGCTGTTTTCCCTAAATATACAGACTGAGACAGGATAGTGGAGGTAGAAGGAGCAGGATTTTGTAGCATGAAGAATAACTGGGTGAAGTCTGTTGCAGATAATCATGCCCAGGCAAAAACCTGGAGGGCAGGAGGGCATAGGAGTAATGTGTGAGTCCCTTTGCGGCAGAGCAGGATCCTTGGAATAAAACCCCAGAGCAGCGAAGACCTGGGAGAAGACCTGTTTCGAGTTTGGGAGACCAGTAATACTGTAAAAAGAACACTTGGCTTGGTCCAAAGGCTTGGGTTTGATAAAGAATTTCATCTTGCGCTTCAGAGTTCTCATCTACAAAATGTGCTTAACAGCAATACCTATTTCATAGGGCATCCAGAAGATTAAAAGAGATAGTGGATATAGAAAACTAAATGTCACTCCTTTGATCAGATTCCTCAGATGTTCCCCATGGTTTTAAATTTAAAATCCAAACTCCTCCACGAGGCACACAAAGGCCCTTCAAGCTGCAGATTCTGCCTACTTCTTTCACTACATTTATCGCCACTTCACACTCCTGCAACTCTACAGACCAGCCAGACTAAATTCCTAGAACTTTGCTCTCTCCTAGTCTTCACAAATACAGCTCTAACACCCTGGAGCACGCTGTTCCTGATATACACTCCCTGGATCATTCCTGTTCTTTCTTCAAAGCTCGGTTTAAGAGGCATCTCCTGCAGGAAGTCTTCCTTAATGCCCACTCTACTCTTCACATGGGCTAGATGAACTTCCTCAGTGTTTTCAGAGCACCCTTTGCATCCTCCAATTCTAGCATGTTTAGTAGTTGATTGGAATCACAGATTTATACTGTCCCTGTTCTGAGATTGCAGTTTCTGGAGAAGAGGGGTTGTGGTGCTTCCTATTTATTTCCAGGGCCTTCCAGGGCCTGACACCTAGTGGACCTCAGGAGATGGCAGTTGAGTGAAGAATATATGAATGAATGAATGAATGAATAGATGAATGGTGGTATAAACTTAAGGAGTCAATGATGAGCAATACTTTGTGTTCCTGTCCTTTTAAAAAAAATCCTAATTCTAAAATAATTAAAAAGAACCATCTAGAGTCTCTCCTCTCAATAACCCAATTCCTTCCTGCTATCTATCGCACATGCTTATTCCTCTACTGGGTTGCCTTCCTCAACATATAAGCTGAACAGCTAAACTGTTTTCAGTCATGAAAGAATTTTCATTCCTTTAGCCTTGCTTGTTTTGACCTGTCTAGAGAGCTCTGTGACCCTCTAAATCCAGAGCTGAAGGCACAATTATTGTTGGTATAATGAAGAGAGATGACCTCATGCTTTTTTTCTGAACTGAAGGCATTAATTCTAGACATATTGCTTCACCTCCACCCCAGCCTGCTCCTCCTCTTGTCATTTATCACAGTGAATGACATGCCATCTGTCCACTTGCCTAAGTGGGAAACCCAGAATTCACCCCAGATTTCTCTTTGCTAGCTTCTCCCACCCAAATTGTTCACCAGGTCTGGTCCAGTCTACTGCCTAAGTATCTCGGGGATCTCTTCACTTACCTCCATCTCCACAGCCACAACCTAAGTTCATGCCGCTACGATCTCTTACCAGAATGATTGCACTGGCCACCTAATTGGTCTCCCTGTTTTTAGGTACTTTTCATCTTTGTATGTTCTTGGTACTGAGGCCTGAAAATGCAAATCTAATCTTCTTTTAAAATCCTCCGATAAGGGGTTCCCACTGTCTTCACGATAACAGACTCTCAGGTACTTTACAAGGTCTCAGCTACTTTTCTGGTTTCATTTACTACCATTCACCCTCCACCCGCTCCCCTCAGGTAAACTTGGAACATATTGAATTACTTGTTTTGCAACTAATCCAAAGCACTTTCCCCCACTTCGCTTGGTCAACTCTTGCTCACCACTTATGGTTTGCCTCGGATGTCATCTTGCCCTCGGGGGAAAAAAATGTTTTTGTGTGCTCTTTGAACATTCAGTTTTGTCTCACACTCCAGAGCTCTAGCTCCCTCTAAGCAGTACAGTGTAATGGTTAAACCCACAGGCAGTGGTATCTGGTTACTAGGATTCAAATTCCACGTTGTGCATTTACTAGCTGTGCGACCTAAAGCAGGTGAATTCTGCCTTCTCTGTAACGTGAGGATAACATTTCATCTACCTGTCGTGAGAATTAAATGAGATGATGTAAGGTATGATGATAGCACTGAAAACTGAAGCTCTACACCTCATCGCACCTCATCTTAGTAGCCGGTCTGTGTGCGATTTCGTTTTAACGCGCGGTTGTGCATTTACTAGCTGTGCGACCTAAAGCAGGTGAATTCTGCCTTCTCTGTAACGTGAGGATAACATTTCATCTACCTGTCGTGAGAATTAAATGAGATGATGTAAGGTATGATGATAGTACTGAAAACTGAAGCTCTACACCCCATCGCACCTCATCTTAGTAGCCGGTCTGTGTGCGATTTCGTTTTAATGCACGCGCCTGTTTTAGTGTCACCTTGTAGTCTATTTTTTACTTGACAAGGCAGTTACAACAAACCGGGAGGCGATCAGGTAGGCACCTGAGCTCATCACGACTTCGCGCTGCCGAGCTCGTCGATTCCTGACGCCCCCAGGCGGCTCAAGCGGTAGTCCAAGTAGAGTGAACTAGGGCATACCATTCGAAATTTTAGGGGAAGATAGGCCGTTTCTAACCAAATAGTTTGTGTTTATAAGTTCTACCCTCTTTCGCTTCCTAACCTCAAACTGTCTCAGACCCAATAAAATGAGAAATAGGACTGTAAATGATGAGGACGGAGCAAGCAGGTTTGGCTTCCTCCCCCATCCCGATCACGACATTGGTACTTTCTCTTCTCAGTTCCCTCTCAATAATGGTATCGTCCGCGGAGGGGCAAACAGAGAGGGATTCTGAAGTCCTCAGGATTCGGAGGCTGATACTAGTACAGAACCACCCCTCCTGCAGTGACTCCATGGTACCGCCCACTGTCTTCTGATTGGCTGCCGAGGCCCCGCAGTCGGGCTCAGCCCGCCGCGCCGACCTCAGTACATCTTCGGCCGCTGCGCCGCTTGGGTCTCGTATTCCTTGTTCTCGGCGGGCTGTGTGGGCTCCGCGCCGCAGCCGTTAGTCATGTCGGGTAGGTGATTCCTTCAGCTAGCAGCGGCAGCGGCGAGAAGGGTGCTGGCGGGGATGGGTCGTCTTCCCGCCCACTGGAAGGCCCCGAGGGAAAGCCTCCGGCTCTGAGGGAGGCTGGGGGGTGGGGGGACGGACGCTGCCGCCGCCATGTTGGACTGGAGGGACGCACGCTCTCAACGCTTTCCGTCTGCAAATCACGGCGGGAGCGCTTCGGCCCTCTGTGTTTTGATCCTGTCCTTGGAACCTGAGGCGACGTGCGGCTCCCGGGGCAAGGTGTGAGTCGGAGGCGGAGGTTGTCTACGCCATCACAAGGGCGGGGTGGGGGGAGCCCGTGATTAGAGCATCAGCCTGAGAGAATCCGTGCTTCTGGTTCTCCGTCCGCCTCAGATCTTTCAGCGAGGCCTCGGGCCAGTCGTCTCGTCGCCTCGTGCCTCAGTTTCCCCATCCACGGAGTGGAGCTGGGCCTTCTGACTCACCCATTCATCAGGTGGAGGCCTTGACGCCCTGGGAGCCCTTTCAAAAGGACGTTGCCTTCCACGAAATTCTGCTTATCTTCATTCCCTCTGTCGTAACTACCCGAATTCCATTTGGGGGTGTTTGCATATAATTCAGCTTCCTCTTCACCCTTTGTCATTCTCCCATCAGTTTTTTCTCTCCTGCAAGAGCTTGAAAGAGCTTTTTCTATTATCGACAGGCTCCTGTAAGGTACATACGGCGTTTACCTTAAAACATACCAAAGAAAGGCAATCTTCAATAAAGTATTTAAATTGATAGAGTCCCCCCCATTGTGTGGAAGAGGAAAAGAGGCATTGGTCTCTAAATCACAGCCAGTTTAGATCCTGCTAACCCAGAATATAAAGTCTGGAACATGTGTGTTCTCATAATTTAGTTACTAGCTGACCGCACAAGGTCCTCTGTTGTTGGGTGCATCACTGGCTGCAAAGACTCAACAACCACTTGCTAGAAACCATGAGAGTTAGATACCACTTTTCAGGTGGAAAAAGAGAACATTTCCTTGAAGCCATATGGTTGGGATGAAAATGACTTCTGACAGAATCTTTACATTTTTTTTAAGGGAGAGCCTGTTGATATTTAAATAAAAGCCCCCAGTAATCCATTCTTGCAGAAGGATGGAAATGTGTGACCAAAAAGAAAGCAGTAGGCTAAGAAGCGACCAAATTATAGGGTATGGACAGAAGAACGATAAACATTCCTTAGATTAACATTGATCTTAAGCCAGAATATTGATCTTTTGGGAGAAGGGCATTTTTAATGTTTCTTTCCATTTAATCCTCAAACAAATAGTTCCTTACCCCGAAGTAGACATTGGTACATATTTTACCAGGTGCATAATTTGGAATGAAGTCTGGTAAAGCTCCACAGAAGTACATAGAAGTACACCCTCAGGCAGATGTGTAACCCATCCATGGTTAAAAAGAAAAATTCTTGGATTCTCATGGCAAAATTTATGGCTTTCAGTGGAAACAGTGCTCATTAAAACCTTGGCCTGTCTTGATTTTTAACGTAATTGTTGGTATAAAATGATGGCTTACTTTTATAGGACTAGGTAGCTTTTATGGAAAATTAAATTTTAGAGGTTTACTGTTTGTAAAATTTAGGATTTTCATTGTGTCAAATTAGTATGTGAGCTGGTTTACCTGTTAGTACTGATATTCAAATTACTAGGACACTAGATGTTTGTCACTTTTAATTTGAGGGTTTTTTTAAAATATCAAAGATTGGCTTTCACCTGTGAAAAGAATGATTTAATAACATTGTTTCTAAATTAAAAGTAGAATCTTTTTAGTGTTATATATTTACATTTTGTAATGTGTATAAAAAATAATACTTTTGACTTTGTATAATAATAGGAGTAATGCTTTTGACTTGTTTTTCAGTGAATGCTTAAGTTAATAAATTTAACAGTAAAGTCCGTTCCCTCAACAGCTAATGGCATTAAGTTAGGTTAAGTCCTTTAAACATTCCAAACTACACTTAGAAATTTATCATATTGACTCAACCACTCCAGATGCCTGACAGGGCAGAATTATAAAACCTAATAACATATAAACACTTAATGTAATCAATAAAGTAGTAAATGTTGTCAGACTCTCAGACATTCCAAGTACTATTTACAAATGTGAATTATCTGACTCCTTTCAAATTAAAATTATAAATATAATACCAATTATACATATAAAAGTTACAAAGTCTAGATACTTTTCATTTCAGTGATAATGTCAGACCAAGATAACTTGAAAATCCTCTGTATCTACAAACACCTAAAGATGCAAGAACTTAGAAAAAAAGGGCAAGCCCCAGCTGCCAGAAATAAAGTAGAAGTCAGAATGGTAGGCACAGAGCTAACTTGGTGGTTGCCTTGGGGAGGAGGGTATAGGTCTCATCATTTAGAATCTGGGATTTTATTGCCCAAGTAACTAAAACTAAGGACAGGAGAGCTTTGAGACCATTAGAGCCGGGTAATGGGAGTGGAGACCCTTACGTAAGACCTGGATGTTTGAAAGACTATCTTCTGTGAAGGAATGAACTAGAAAAAACTTTTGTACCAGCCTAAGAGATAACAAGGAAGCCTGGGCCCTAAGTGAAACAAAAATGTTCAGAATTCATAATCTGGACCTGTGCTTCATACAGTTGGATGTACATAGGCTAGTTATGGGATCTGAGAACCTTAAGCCAAGTAATTAACGTAAAAATTGGTTCTGAGTTGGTAATACCTTTGGGGTTCTTGGTAGAAACAAATGAAAAACTTTTCTGGGAGAAATCCACACTCTAGGTCAACAAGAAGTCTTATAGAAAAAATATGCTTGGGAAAGATGAGTTCACCGTAAATATTGTAGAACTCGAAACATTTCATGAAAATGAGTGACAGGTGGGATTAGAACCTCTTATAAATAAATACCCTGAAAGTGAATGTTATATATTTATAATGATTAAAAACCTAAAGAGAACCAACTTTCAGAGCAAGACATTATGAGAAAAGGCTACAGAGATTTGGAAAAGAACCAAATATAACTTCTAGAAATATAAAAAGTGGGTAAGTTGTATTGCACATAGAAATAATGAAGTGGAAGATGTGATATAATTACCCGGAATTCAATTCAGAAGGCTAAAGATAAAAACAAAAAATTAAAGAACGTGAGAAATAGATTGAAAAGTCCTGTCATACATCTGAATTTGAGGAAAAAATGGAAGAATTAATAATTGATAGTTTTCCAAAATTGATAGATTTTTTGCATCAACACAGTAGTTGCAAACAGACGTAAAAGTTTATACGTATATACACTGATGTGAAACTGTGTATTGGAATACCAATAACAGACCTACCAGAGGAAAAGAAATGATAAGATTGATACACCTGAAAATTATAAGAAGCCAGAAAATAGTGAAATGATCCTTGGAATTTACAGGAAAGAGTAACCATTGACCTCGTAATTTTTACCCAAATAAAAAGACTAAAACTGCCACTTTCATGTCTTTGCTGAAATAAAATAAGTTAAACTCAGAAGGGAGGAGTAGGATGAAAAAACTAGAGGAGGCAAACAGTAAACAAAAAGCAAATGACTGGAACACAAGATTAAAATGATTACATTTAGAGATTTTAAAAAAGTGGAAGCAAAAGGATGGGGAAAATGGAGCAAAATAATAGGTGAGAGCTGTGATTGGCATTGTTATTAACGTTCTTATATTCTAGTGGAGGTTAATCATTTTGAACTTTGCCAAGAATTCATGTTAATTTGAATATAATTAAATTATGAATAGTAACATTAAAATAACAGAAATTTAATGTATTGCTTATAAAACAGTGGGAAAAGGGGTAAAAATCCAATAGAAGGCAGGAACGGAGTTTCAAGATAAAAATCCTGTTAAGTAGAAAGTCCAATATAGGCAGGTAGAAATAAATAAAATAACTAGTAAATATACAAAACACCAGTTTAAAGACAAAGATTCTCGCATTGGGAAAAAATGATCTAGCTATATGCTGTCCAGAAATGACATACCTAAAACATAATGTTAAAACTATAGAGAGAGAAAAAGGTTAGCCAGGAAAACAACCAAAAGGTTGTTAACAGAATAAAGTGGACATTTTGAATGATAGTATTTATGTAATGTTAAAAGGAAATTCAGGAAGATGCAAATCTGCACTTTTATGTGCCTAACATTATAACCAAAATATAGAAAGCAAAACAAAACCCCCCAAAACCAAACCAAATAACTCTTTAGTCAAACGGAATTTTTAAAAACATACCTCTCTCTCTGTAATTAATAGATCATGCAGACCAAACAGTAAGAGGTGAACGATGCAACTAACAAGCATCATATAGGTTTAACAATTCATTCATCATTTAGAAAATACACAGTTATTTTTAAGCACATAGGAGACATTGATGCAAATAAAATATTTACTAGGGGAAAAGCATGAGAGCAAATTCTAACGAATATCAAGAGTAATACAGAAAATACCTTTTCTGGCTGCAATGGAAAATAATGAGAAGACAAAAACAAAACCTTAAACATGCAGAAGGAAATAAAAGCGCTTCTGAATAATTGATGGGTCCAGATACAAGGCTCAAGTGTCAAGTATTCTTAATGACCATTTGTTTGAAATGCCATAAATAATATTTAAATGATTTTTTTTTTATGAGAATAAACCATCTGTGCTTTTTCAAATACTTATACTAAGGGTCAGACTTACTGGTTATGGTTAATAAGCTTATTTAGCCAGCTAAAGAAGTCAGATTGACAATTTCAGAGGGCCGAAGTGACTCAGTTATAGTTAAGGACTCAATATTTACAGGATTTGAGCCAGAGTCACGTGACCTATGTGTTGTGTATGTCTATAATTTTGTCTGAGGGATAGACACAGATCTTGGACTCCACATTCATGCCTTCGGATGTAATTTAAAGTTTCATGTGTCCTCAGGGCATCTTAAGTTTTACTCATTTGTTCTACCCGAACCCCTCAATAATGCTTTACAGTTTTTGATTTGGTTGAAGCTAATTTCCTTCCCTATTTGATAGATAAAAATAATTTCTGTGGTCCAGTTAGAGTCTATATCCTTTTCATATTTTTCTTATTTGGTGGTTAGCTGTAAATCTAGAGTCATTTTATCATGGGCATGGCATTGATGCAGTTTTCCTTTTTCATCTAAGGTAGCCTTATGTCCTTCACATTCATAGAAGTAGTTTGTGTCAGGATTGCAGTCAAAATGCTTATAATTGTGGATTTAAAAAAGCAATTTGTTTAGTCTGATTGGAGATACTCTCTACTGCAGAAAAGGGGCTAATTTGATGTCACTCAAAGTCAATGGCAGTGTTTTCAAATTGTAGCTTTATACAAATTGAATGAAAAAGTCACTGATTTGATTTTTGGTGAGTTTTCATAACAGTCTAACAACAAATGGTTTTGTTTCAAATTGGGTGAGGTTGGGCCTAATGGTCAGTAGTGTGAGACTCAGTCATTTTTTTGCAGTTGGAAGTACTTCTTATAATATCACTCTTATTCATCAGTAATAAACTTACTCATTTGACTCTGAGTAGAATCCTAAAGGATAGAGCTTATTCAGAAAATTTTGATATAACACATTTTTGAAGTATTGAGAAAAGCTCATAGTTCAAACTTTTTTCCTGTTTTTTGATGCATATTATTCAATTCATGCCTGCCTCGGTAGTTTTTATTGCCAAAAAGGAAACTAGAAGTAGGTTTTGATGAGTTAGTATTATCAGTGTGGTTAAACAACTAACAGTTACTCTTACCAAATCTTCACAGATCTTTTTGTTGTTGCCACAGCCAAAGCAATCCATTACAAGGGAATGGTTTGCATGTTGGGCAGGGGAGGATGTGCAAAGTAAATGTTATCCTGGATATTTATCTTGTCAGTGCGTCATCCCCCTTTTGGCCCTGATTAGGTTTAATAGATGTTTTTTTGTATATAAAGATAGTAGAACTTGAGCTTTTGAGTTTTTATTAATAGGATGGATTTTTGACTGATTGTTTCACATTTGTTCACTTGGTTCTTGTGACCGTCAGGACATGTTTGTAGTTTTCAAAGACGTAGTTACTGTAAACAGCAAATATTTGTACAGATTTCTCCTTGCACAGTATTTTTAACTTGTAGATTTTCTTTCCATAGTTCCTTTTTATGACATTTTCTTATTACATTTCATCTGTAAGATCTAAAGTCAGCCTTTGAAGGAAGCATAATGTTAAATCAGATTTAAAATTCTTTTTATGTGTTTTAGATTCTGGAAGTTACGGTCAATCTGGGGGTGAGCAGCAAAGGTAAAGTATACATACGTTTTAATAATGCCATGAAAAAGAACTGAGAAAAAAAGATGAGTTCAGTCAGGCCTCTCTTTAGATTTGGTATCTAGATGTCTTAAGAGAGTTAAATATTAGCTTGTCAAGGAGAAAGAGTTAGCCTTTGTAAATAGGTTCTGTGAAACATTTCTTCCTTTTTTTTTTTTTTAAAAGGCTGTGTGAATCAGTAAATAATCAGATGTCCCCTAGAGATTAAAATAAAATTTCATAGGTATTCTAAAGATAGTTTTCTTTGGGAAAGTTAAAAAAAAAAATTATTAAAAGGATTTAGCAATTCAGCTATAACAGGGTCTTAGAAAAAGCATTTTTTTTTATTGTATGTAATATGCTAATATTTTTAAGGGAGAACAGATTTTCTAGAAGTACTATAATAGAAATGTTGAATATTTTTTAAAGACTCCTTATCATGCTAACAATAAAAAGAAGTCCGTTTTAATATGAATGTTTACATGCAGTAGAGTTCTCTTGCTTACCAGAAATATAGCCTTTAATTTATACTATAAACGTTTTGCAGCTCAGTGAGATATTCAGAATAGCATCTCAAATATCTTCTGTCATCAAGTTTTAAGGTTCATAAATACAGATTTGACATTTTTATTCTTACCGGATAGTACTAACCTCATAGTAGGCAACTAGCAAATGTTTATTCAGTGAAATAGATTTTAGAAAGTTAAATTCTGTTAGCACTTGATAGCTCTAAAATGGTAAAAATTTTTTTGCAGATGTTTTATTTTTATTTGGCAAGTATTCAGAAAATATGTTTTTGACTTGTTAGAG